TCAATCGTCTAGTTTTTTATATTATGTGGAACGGTTTCCATGTGTTGCCTCTTCTTCCCAGAGCCACACACCCTACCCCCTGAAGTTAGCCCCAGCGCTCACCCAAGCCGCAGAGGGATCATGACCCGGAATATCTTTTCCCCCCTTTCCCGCTGCCCGCTTTTGTGCTTACACTTGCCCTGTGAGTTCCAGAGAACGCAAAAGCTTTCCCATTGTGTTATTTTGTCTTAACAGAAAGGAGCGTGTGGTGTTTGTTTTTTGATTATGCTATTTACTAATGTAGCCACCTACGACATTTTGCCGGCACTCAAACGGGCATTGTGTTGTGGTTGCCAGGGAGAAGAGATTCTCCCCAGTGAGCAAAGACGACACCATTCAGAGCGGTATGTGGAACGTGGCAGCCTGAGTGACCCGAGCACCTTGTCTACGATGCCCGTGACATTGTTCCTTGTGCACGACAATGCCGCCCTCCCCGATGCTCTAGTAATGGGCAGCCTGAATGCGTAAAACAATGAAGCAGGCGGCCCACGTGCCAATCCAAGAGTCCGAGGGAACTTGGACAGGTGCTCCAGCCCCTCCACCGCCACGTTGGCCCACGCAAGCCAAGAGAGGTGGCGGCCACGGGGACCTCACCCTAGACGTGCTTACTGAGAAATGAACCCCTCCCTGTGCACAGGATCCAGTCCAGGCATTTCACTTGCGCTTATTTCATATGTGGCCTGTTTTCCTCGCTGCAACTCGTACGGCAAAATATAGGAAACAATCCAGTCAGAAAGCAGGCCGTAAGCGCAACAGGGCTGGTATCAGAAGGCCAACAGGATCCCCAACAGGGTGCCCACAGGGGCCATGGTCCCCACAGCCGATACCTTTCCCGGTGCCCGCCAAGCGTGACTAGGAAATGGGCAGGGCAGGGCAGGGCAGGGCAGGGGGGGACCCTTTTTGCCCAGCTGTCAGGATCCACAGCAAGACAACAAAGTACACACTTCTAGGAAGGTTTTACTTTTATTGAAAAGCTATAGATGCAGTAACATGAACACTGTTAGGAATGGCGGGTTACCTATGCGCATAATAGGATATAGGGCTTTTGTATGCACACACACCCCACGTAGTACCCAATTAGATGGGCTCCCGCGCGGGGGCATTTAGCAGATTGCTAAAGGCTGCAGAAGGTGGGAACGTAAGAAGCTTCCCACAAAACCTAGACACACCAACTCCTCCAGTGGCCTTGAGAGATATGCGTTACAGCAAAGATGCAATTAAGCGCATGGGAAGGAAGGCACATCAGTTAGAAACATACACCACACTCATGGCAGCATAGCTGACACCAGCAAGGCTTCTGATTGGTGACTGGAGGTTTCATCGGCTGTGCGGATTCAAAAAAACCGTTCTGGCAGCAGCAGCCGCCACAGCATGAGGACCCTTGTTCTGTGACTGCAAGCAAGCCACAGTGGCCCTTCTGCAGCTGGCTCCACCTGCTGCTGCAGCAGCCATTTTGTGGGGACCCCTGATCTAAGACATCATGCAGAAAGTGGGCGACGAAGGTAGAAGGCAATGCAGTAAAAGGTTCGGCCGTTTTTTTTTTTTGCAGGATGTGCACCCCACGGAGGGCCAGTTCTTAGTACAAGGAGTGCTTGCAGGGGTTGGAGGGCCGTGGGGGAGACACTTTCACCCCAGTGGCCCTTGGGTGGCTTGGCTGTCCCGTGCCTTCCCCATCAAGCGTTTCTCCTCCTGTCCCTGGCTGCCATCACCTCTTAAGGGCCGCAGTGGCGTCTGCTGAAGACATCGCCTAGTTATTATTACTATAAGGGAGAGAGGAAGGAGGGCACCTCTGAGCCAGCGGGAGGCGTTTCACCAGAGGGAGCCCCTGCGTCCCTCGCACTCATGGCCGTCCCCTCCTTTTTGAACCTTGCTGATGTCCTGACTAAGCGGGGGGTGGGGGTGGGAGACGATGACCCTCTGAGCACTGGTGTTAGAAGGCCATGACGTGCAAGCATTATAGTGTGTGACATTTCTGAGCCAAACTTCAAAAGCCCAGTGGCTGTTCACAACTGCCGTGGCAGTATTTGTTTAAGCCCTCGCCAATCCAATCCAAGCTACTCTGAAAGCCCAATTCAGCAAATTATTTATTCAGCAGTTATCTACGGTACAATAACTGTGTTACTTTTCTTTTGTGGTACCACAATGCTCTGTGTTTGTTCATCAGGAAGGGAGGAGAGCAACTTTGACACCCATTCAAATACATTCTACCGTGATGCTAGAGTCCCTAGCAGTTAATTTGTTGGCATGATGGCCTGCCCCTAACTATCCCTGCACAAAAGCGACACAGTTCTCCCTGCATTTCTCGTTGCTTCTGCAAACACTTCCAACCCCTGGGATCATGGGATCCTTGTGGATTGGGGGCCAGAACTAAGAGGTAAAAGGAGATGAAATCACACATCCCATCCCCCCCCAGGTATTTGCTATGCTTCCCTGACCTGGATAGCCCAGGCAAGCCAAAAGGTCAGCAATCGTCAGTATTTGGGTGGGAGACCAACAAGGAATATCAGGGTCAGTACACAGAGGCAGGCCATGGCAAACCACTTCTGAACTTCTCCTGCCTTAAAAACCCCATGAGGGGTTGCCGTAAGTCAGCTGAGACTTGACAGCAAAGAAAATAAATAAAAATTGCTGTGCTTGTGATGGAGGGAAGAGAAGCCATGCCACACACCATACACCTGTCCTTCACTTCGGCCTGTTTTCTCACAACCCAAGGAATAATCTTTCCAGTGATCCCAAGGGGACTGCAGGGATGGAGAAGAATGGAAGGGAAATCCCTGTGGACTTCCATGCACCAGTGGTTGCAATGCAGGCCGATGTAGTTATTGTTAAAGCAGTAATATAACATTATGTCCCAGGAAAATAAAGGTGGTTTTTTGAGAACCCCTATTGTGTTAAGACATTGCTGGGAACCCCTGTTGGTCTGATGCAGGACCCACCCACCCCAAATAAACCCTCCAAATTTAATTAGTGTCAGTGAACTCTGAGAAGGAGCAGGAGATAGAGCTGCTAGAGGGGTGAGTGGTTTTTTTACTTTCAGCTGAGGGGATTTAGCTGAGAGGGTACTCTGTGGGAGACTGTGTTTGGGAGTGTGTGGGTGAGTTGTGAGTTGTTGCAGAGTCCTGGCTGCCTGAGATAGGGTGTGTCCAGTCAGGCGGGATACACACCTTCACAACACCCGCCTCCTGCTGAGACACACTCACATGCCCCCCACCCCCGGCAATTGCATCCAAACAAATTGTGACCGCATAAACCTCGCTCGTTGTTCTTGTTAAGAGACGGCATCACCTGTGGAAACATCTTCCCACGGCTGTGTGCCAGTTTGCGGCTCAACCTCTGCCTGGATATCTGTGAGCCCTTCACTTCCATTTCAGTGTGCCTTGCACAGGACAGCTCACCCCTTTAATCAAACTCTGTTGGTCTGAAAGGTGCCCCCCCGACTCTAACTTGGTTCTACTGCTTCCGACCAACATGGCTGCCCCACCTGGATCTATCTCCCCAAACCTTGTTTTCCCGAGCTCAGCCATCAAATCTCCAGGTCCCCCTGGGCTTCTGGTAAGGGGTGGGGGGTTCCGGGTTGGGGAACTCCTGGAGATTTGGGGATGGAGCCTGGGGAGGACAGGAGCCTTAGTGGGGTGCAGTGCCTAGAGCCCACCCTCCAAAGCATTCCTCTTCTCCAGGGAAACTGATCTCTGCTGATGAGCTGTAATTCCAGAAGATCCCCAGGCCCCACCTGGAGGCTGGCATCCCTGCTCCAGGCATTTCCAAATCCAGAGTGTGTATGACTGAGTGCCTGCAAAAGCTCTGGCTTGAAACACTTCACTCTACACATTTGTTTTGTGTCTGTTTGTTTTTAGCTGCAAAGACATGAGTTAGTAACGGCGAAGGTGACACCTTGAATCAAACCAGTTTGTCGTCCCTGAGGCAGCAGCCTGGGCCGGAAGGATGCCCTCCGTGCCACTGCATCAGAAGCCCAGGCAGCGCTGGCAGAAGGTGCTCTACAAGAAGCAGCCATTTCCCGATAACTACGTGGACCAGAGCTTCCTGGAGAAGCTCCGCAAGAACGTCCACGCGCGCCAGTACCAGTACTGGGCTGTGGTGTTTGAATCCGGGGTGATGATCCAGCAGCTGTGCAGCGTCTGTGTCTTCGTCGCCATCTGGTGGTACATGGACGTGGGGCTGCTGGCCCCTCAGTGGTTGTTTGGGGCCGGCCTTGCGTCCTCCCTCGTCGGCTACGTCCTCTTCGATGCCATCGACTCTGGAGCAGGGAGGCGCGAGAGCGGGCGGACGCGGTGGGCGGATCTGAAGAGCTCCGTGGTCTTCGTGGCCTTCACCTATGGCTTCTCCCCGGTACTGAAGACCTTGACAGAGTCCATCAGCACAGACACCATCTATGCCATGTCTGCCTTCATGCTCCTCGGACACCTGATCTTTTTCGACTACGGGGCCAACGCCGCCATCGTGTCCAGCACCCTCTCTCTCAACATGGCCATCTTCGCCTCTGTCTGTCTGGCCTCCCGGCTGCCCCGGTCCCTGCATGCCTTTGTCATGGTGACCTTCGCGATCCAGATCTTTGCCCTCTGGCCTATGCTGCAGAAGAAGCTCAAAGCCCAGACTCCCCGTGGCTACGTGGCCATCACTTTGCTGTTTGCCACGGCAGCCCTTGTGGGCCTGCTGACCATCACCAGTGTTGGCACGGTTCTCTTTGCCCTCCTGCTGGTCTCCATCTCATGCCTGTGCCCTTACTGCCTCATCAGACTGCAGCTCTTCAAGAACAATATCCACGGCCCTTGGGATGAGGCGGAAATCAAAGAAGACCTCTCCAAGTTCCTCCTGTAGACCCACGGCCCACGTAGGGGGTGCCACCACAGCTAGTGGCCAGCCGAGAAGGGGGCCCCAGGTTGATGAAAGAACAATGGCCGCCTTTGGAGATGGAAGACGCGCCTCCTTGGCCTTCTGTGCTTGGGCAGTACATTTTCCTCAATGCCTGGGCTGCCGTTTGGGGTAGTGCCAGTATTGTTAGAAACAAATACTGGGATGTGGGAAATGTTTAATGGGAACTCTCGTACGGTGGAATGTGCTCTTGTTGAAAAGGGCAGGTTAGTCATCCCTGCGACACACTTTTAAACATACTTGATGGAAGCACCCGGGGGGGGGGGGGGGTCACTGTGGATTTGAGCCGCTGTGTTTTGTTTGGAACTGACAGTTAATGAAGCAGGAAATGTAGAAATACAATAGAGCTCAGATTCCAGTCTCTACGCTGGACTGTGACAACAAACAGTAAACATTGCAAGGCATTTTACGTTGCGAGTGCTTATTTCGTCACAGAACAAATTTCAGAGCCATCAAGAAAAAAGAAGGCAAACACTTTGGCAGCTGAGCTGCCAAAATCACATCAGAGCTCCTTTCTGGAAGCTGGCTGGTCAACAAGTTAGGTAAGATGAATACCTGAAAAATATTTTGAGGGTAGTCCTTCCAACCAGTAAATTAGAATATACAAAAAGGATTGGCCCAGGAGACAAAAAGCTCTCATGCCACTGTTGCAGGCCCATTCAGGGTCTACACAGTGGGAAAGAGCTTCTGCTCTGATTTAGGGTTAGCACCAGCACTATTCTGCCCCAGCTGGGGTCTTAAGGCCCTGCCTGCCTGGATATCATTAGCAAATTAACAACAACAGAGGATCTGGACCAGCCCTCTTGAGGGCATGGTATTTCTCAGAAAGCAAAAAAATGAATCTTTCAGCATGTGTTAGATAGGTCATTGGGAAGGAAGGCAGGATGGTATAGCCCAGTCTTAACACATCTCGGAAGCTAAGCAGGGTCAGTAGTACTTGGAAGGGAGACCACCAAGGAAGACTCTGTACAGGGAGGCAACGGCAAGCCACCTCTGCTTCTCGCTTGCCTTGAAAATGCCCCTTGCTTGGGTTGCCATAAATTGGTTGCAACTTGACGGCACTTACATAATATACATCATTGCGCAGATCAAGGAAGGAAATGCCAAAGCCAGCCTGTCTCATCAGAAAACAGCTTCCTTTTCTCACCCACTCCCCCCACCTTCAAAAATAGTGTGCATTTATTCTCCTGAAATCAAGAAAATACTTAGCAAACCCACATTTCCAGGAATCCAGTATATAAATTAGACACAACAGAACTAGTTGCTGCCTTCAGAAGTTGTTTGTTGTGTTTTGTATTTTTCCTTCCCAATTCATATCTTCAAAGTGGCGAAACAAAACCGAAATTGCATCCATACAAAGTAGAAACGTCCAGCTACAAGCAGCTGGCACTGTCCAATGGCTACATCCGGGATGGCCAAAGATGTTGGGTTTTCTTGGCCTCCCTTCTGTTGGGGTGGTTGGTAACCTCTCTGCCGCTGGCAGAGATGGCAAGTGTTTGTTTAACTGCTGGGTTTTTGGAAAAAAATGTGTTCAGTTTTTTAAAAAAACCTTACTAAGCTCTTCCCCCCCCAAGAACCTTCCAAAGTAGAGTACAAAGATTATTCAGAAGAGAACAATAAAATAGTTCTTGCTAGACTTGTGCTCATGGCTATCATTCAAGTTTCACTGGTTTTGTTTCATGTTTGTTGACAGCTATGAAATCCTAGAGTCACTTCAAGCGGAGAAAGGTTTTTTGGCAACGCAACAAATTGCTGGTGATTCTGTCCCAGAATCAATTGCCCAGTGTTTAAAGAGTTTGCCTCAGCAACATTTCCTGGCACTTTCTGAAATAACTATTTATTTACGACATATATGTATATATTTAGATACTGCTTGCTTTGGCAACATGTATACTGAATATTTAGGCTTTTCTCACTGATGGGGATCCAGGGATCCATCATTCTCCAGTTTGGTGTAGTGGTTAGGAGCGCGGACTCTAATCTGGGAGAACTGGGTTTCATTTCCCACTCCTCCACATGCAGTCACAAGTTCTCTCAGAGCTGTTCTCCCGAGAGCAGTCCCCAAAAGAGGTCTCTCAGCCGCACCTACCTCACAGAGGGTGTCTGTTGTGGGGAGGGGAAGGGAAAGGAGATTGTAAGCTGCTCTGAGACTCGGAGTGAAGGGCCAGGGGGTATAAGTCCAATCTCTTCCTCCTCCTTCTCCACCCCCTCCTACATTTGAACCTCACAACACCAACCCTGAGAGGTAGATTAGGCAGGGAGTGTTCACCTGGCCCAAGTTCACTCCGTAAGCTTCCATATATGGCACTGTGGGGATTTGAACCCGGATCTCCCACATCCTCATGCAGCACTCCGACTCCAACACCCACATGCCAGGTCCTCCTTCTCCTCCTCCTCCTCCTCCACGGAACACGAGGCTGTGAAAGAGAGGTTTCAGGAGGGCTTCCTTCAGGGCACAGACAAGGCTGAGACCTGCCAGATTGTCATGCACTTTACAGTCATACACTTGTGGTGCGCTAGAAGCTGAGCATAGGATTGTTTGGGGGGATAATGCGGATACTAATGACTATGCGGAGCCATCTAGTTGGGGAGGGGGGGGGTAAGAGGGACTGATTCCTGCAAATGCCGGAGGATTAGAGATAACAGCAGGGGGCGCTCCAGTCTGCTGTAAAGTCCACTGTGTGAAAGTGAAGTGTGAATTCTTTAGCGGTAGAAAAGAGAAAGGGCCCAGCAGTGCCTTGAAGACTTTGTGGCAGAGTAGGAGCTTTCGTGAGCCACTGCTCACTTCTCCAGATAGACCAGGCTCTGCCTGAGGCCGTGGACGTCCAGAGGACTCCAGCCTCCCCTGCTGACAGTTGCTCAGTCTGTTCAGTCTGCCTCAGTGGCCTTTTAGGGGGCGCACCCGTCTGCCCCAACGTGGCGCCAGTATCAGCTAAGTCTGGTTAGCCTGGGAGAAATAGGCCCCACCTGACACCATTGCTGTTAAGCTGCCATCAGATGTTCATTTAAGCATCACGTATTTATTTGCCTGAAATGGTTTGATTTTTTAAAAGAATTGCTGTTTCTTGTTTTACCATGTGTGGTGAGCGTGCCCTGAGCCCACTTGCGGGATAGGGCGGGATACAAGCTGAATAAAATAAATAAATAGGTGCCCTGTGCATTCTTTGCCAGCCATCACGGTCAGAACTAAACCTGCACCTGAGCCTGATTGGAAGGGAGGGGAGAGAGTAACAGACCGCCCAGAACTCTTGTGTCTGTGGATCTCTTAGGCCTGTGAACTCTGGGAAACTGCACTAGGGCTATAGGGCTGCCAACTTCCAGGTGTGTCTGTGTGTGTGTCGGGGGGGGGATTGGGGGTCTCCCAGAATTACAGTTGGTCTCCAGACTAAGTTGATTGCTTATTTATTATTTATTTGTTTTAAAAAGTTATTCCACTTCTCCTGGAGGAAATGGCTGCTTTGGAAGGTGGACTGTATGACATTATAACTTACCAATGTCCTGCCCCTCCCCGGCTACATTCTTTAATCTCCACATATTTCCAGACCCAAAGCTGGAGTGCAGCCGGAATCAGAAAAGAGGTGTCTCATCAAGGACAGCCATTTGCAGGAGGCTGTGTTGGATTGTGACCTGAAAACCAGAACTTTTAGGAGGGTTTCAATTCCTGTGCTAACTTCCAAGGCCTTGCTTTTGATTACCAAGCACAACCAGCTAGTTCGGTGTAGTGGTTAAGAGCGACGGACTCTAATCTGGAGAACTCAGTTTGGTTCCTCACTCCTCTACGTGTAGCCACCTGGGTGACCTTGGGTCAGTCACAGTTCTCTCAGAGCTGTTCTTTCAAGAGCAGACCTCGAGAGAGCTCTCTCAGCCCCACCTACCTCACAGGGTGTCTGTTGTGGGGAGAGGAAGAGAAAGGAGATAGTAAGCTGCTCTGAGACTCCAAGTGAAGGGCGGGGTATAAATCCAATCTCCTCCTCCTCCTCTTCATCATCATCATCAAGGATAAAATGGAGAAGGGGAGAACAATTTCTAAATAGGTAAATTGGGTTGAGTGTAGCATAAGCACCCTCGAACAATTAGATTTTGGCATAGAATTGGGCTGTAGATTTTTTTCAAAGCCTCTCTTGGGATATAGATGACTAGGAATAAGGCCCGTTGTGGAAATAAATACGAGATCTAGAAAGAGGCTCTGGGAGAGTGCTCTGGCTTTGGGCAAACAGTGTCAATTTGCTGTGGTGACCTCAGCAGGGTATAATGACAGAGTCCACTGTTTTCTCCAGAGGAACTGATCTCTGCTACCTGAAGAGCCGTTGTAATTTTGAGTGATCTGTAGCCCTCACCTGGAGATTGGCAACAATTGTTACCCAGGACGAAATGGCTGGTTTGGAGGGTGGAGTCTATGGCATTCTACCTGTCTGAGGTCCCACCCCTCCGCACACCCCACCCTCCCCAGGCTCCACCCCTCAAATCCCCAGGAATTTGCCAGCCTGGAGTTGGCAACCCCATCTCCTTCCCAGCTAACCATCAACCTACCATTATCTGCCCCTTTGACTTCAGCTGACTTCTGCCCTCCCTTCTGCAGAGCAGTTGTAATTCTGAGTGGTCTCCAGCCCTCACCTGGAGATTGGCAACAATGGATCCCCATGAGGGACTGACTGGTTTGGAGGGTGGAGTCTATGGCATTGTACCTGTCTGAGGTCCCACCCCTCCTCAAACCTCACCCTCTTCAGGCTCCATCCCTCAAATCTCCAGGAATTTCCCGTCTGGAGTTGGCAAACCTATCAGGCTAAAGCAGTCATTTTCTCTAGGGGAACTGATCTCTGTCATCTGGAGATCAATTGTAGCAGTGGGAGATCTCCAGGTCCCACCTGGAGATTGGCAACCCTAGGGGGAAGTCAGCTGCACAGCAGGGGGTTGAAGAGAATGGTTTGATGGCTGCTGGGCCAAGATTGGCAACAATAGTTCCCCAGGAGCCCCATCGTAAATGCACCAAACAATTCCTCAAGATTTTCCAAAACACTACTCTGTTGATAAATTGCAACACTTTGAAGTAGCACCAAAGCTTTAAGATCTCTCCAGCTGTCACCTGGAGACTGGCAACAGCTTGTCTGGAGTGTGGGCAGTATGGCATTGTATCTGTCTGAGGTCCCCCTCTTCCTCCTCCTCCTCAGACCCCACCCTCAGCAGGCTTCATCCCTAAAATATCCTGAAAGTTTCCATCCTGGAGTTGGCAACCCTATCCTGGCAACTATCAGCCAACGTTTATCTGCC